GACGACGACGACGACTACTACTACTGCGACTTCTACCACTACTACTACTACTACTACTACTACTACTACTACTACTACTACTACTACTACTACGACTACTAATACTACTAACTACTACTACTACTACTACTACTACTACTACTACTACTACACTACTACGACTACGACTACGACTACGACTACGACCTACACTACGCCTACGAATACGAACTACTACTACTACTACTACTGCTACTACACTACTACTACTACTACGACTACTACTACTACTCCACTACTAACTACCACTGCTAGACTAGACTACTACTACGACTACTACTACTACTATCTACTACTATTACGACTACTTTCTATACTACTACTACTACTAATACTACTACGACCTACTACTACTACTCTACGCGACGACGGCAATACACTACTACTACTACTACTACTAGCCACCACAACGCGACTACCACTACGACAACTACTACTACTACTACTACTACTACTACTACTACTGCTGCTACTACGACTTCTACTACACTACTACACTCCCGCGCGTGCTACTTACCTTCTACTACTAACTACCGACCTACCACCTCAGCTACCTGAACTACTACTAAAACTACTACTACGACTGCTGCTACTACTACTAACTAATACTACCCAATACTACTACTACTGCGACTACTACTACTACACTACTACTACTACTACTACTACTTACTACGACTACTCTACTACTATACTACTACTACTACTACTACTACTACTACTACTGCTACTACTGCTACTGCTACTGCCACCATACTACTACTACTACTACACTACTACGGCGACTATAATTACTACTAGGGGGAGGGCCCGAGGGGGGGAATCCGGACTACTACGACTACGCTACTACACGACTACTACTACACTACACTAACTACTACTACTACTACTACTACTACTACTACTACGACTACTACTACTACTACTGCTACTACTACTACTACTACTACTGCTACCTACCACTATACGTCGTAACAGCGGCGCGGCGGATGGGTTCAAGCAGGGCACATGTCCTACAACTACTACTGCCACGGCGACTACTACGACTACTACGACTGCGACTGCGAGTGCAACTAGTATTACTACTACTACTACTACTACTACTACTACGACTACTACTACTAGTAGTACGGCTACGCTTACTACTACTACGACTACTACTGCTACTACTACTACTACTACTACTACTACTACTACTACTACTACTGCTACTACTTCTACTACTACCATTACTACTATTACTAATACTACGACTACTACTACTAGTACTGCTACTACGACTGCCACTACTACTCGTACTACTCTTGCTACTCTTGCTACTACTACTACTACTACTACTACTACTACTACTACTACTACTACTACTACTACACCTACTACTACTACTACTACTACTACTACTACTACTCACGACTACTACGACTACTACACTATCTACTGTAAAAATACTACTACTACTAACCAAACACTACTCACTTACTACTACTACTTATACTACTTACTTTACTTATACTACTACCGAATGCTACCACTACGACTACTACTAATACTACTACTATACTACTACTACTACTACTACTACTACGACTGATGCTGCTGCTGCTGACTAACGACTACTACTGTGTGTCATACCGTACTAGCCCCCCCCCACTACTACTACTACTATCTACTACTACTACTACTTGCTGCTGTGCTGATACTCCTGCTGCTCTATTGCTCTTCTACTACTACTACTATATACTACTACTACTATTACTAAAACTACTATCACGACTACTACTAGTTCTAGTCCTACTACTACTACTACTACTACTACTACTACTACTACTACTACTACTACTACTACTACTACTACTACTACACTACTACAACTACTACTACTACTACTACTACTACTACTACTACTACTACTACTACTACTACTACTACTACTACTACTACTACTACTACTACTACTACTACTACTACTACTACTACTACTACTACTACTACTACTACTACTACTACGACTCCTACTACTACTACTACTACGACTACGATGACTACGACTACTACTACTACTACTACTACTACTACTACTACTACTACTACTACTACTACTACTACTACTACTACTACTACTACGACTACTACTACGACTACTACTACTACTACTACTACTACTACTACTACGACTACTACGACTACCACGACGACTACTACTACTACTACTACTACTACTACTGCTACTACTACTACTACTGCTACTACTACCACTACTACTACTATTAGTACTACTACTACGACTACTACTACTACTACTACTACTACTACTACTACTACTACTACTACTACTACTACTACTACCACTACTACTACTACTAGTACTACTGCTGCTGCTGCTGCTGCTGCTACTGCTGCTAGCTGCTTGCTGCTGCTGCGCTGCTGCTGGCTACTACTGACTACTAATACTACTAACTACTACGACTACGACTACGACTACTACGACTACGACTACGACTACTACTACTACTACACTACTAACTACTACTACTACTGCTACTGCTACTGCTACTGACACTACTGCTAACTACTGCTACTACTCTACTACTACTACTACTAATACTACTACTACTACTACTACTACTGCTACTACTACTACTACTACTACTACGACTACGGTTACGACTACGACTACTACCACTATGACTACTACTACTACTACTACTACTACTACTACTACTACTACTACTACTACTACTACTACTACTACTACTACTACTACTACTACTACTACGGCTACTACTACTACTACTACTACTATTACCACGACTACTACGGTTATTACGACTACTACGAATACTACGACTACTACTACTACTACTACTACTACTACTACTACTACTACTACTACTACTACTACTACTACTACTACTACTACTACTACTACTACTACTACTACTACTACTACTACTACTACTACTACTACTACTACTACTACTACTAATACTACTACTACTACTACTACTACTACTACTACTACTACTACTACTACTACTACTACTACTACTACTACTACTACTACTACTACTACTACTACTACTACTACTACTAGTAACTACTACTACTACTACTACTACTACTACTACTACTACTACTACTACTACTACTACTACTACTACTACTACTACTACTACTACTACTACTACTACTACTACTACTACTACTACTACTACTACTACTACTACTACTACTACTACTACTACTACTACTACTACTACTACTACTAGTACTACTACTACTACTACTACTACTACTACTACTACTACTACTACTACTACTACTACTACTACACTACTACTACTACTACTACTACTACTACTACTACTACTTTCTACTACTACTACGACTACTAGTACTACTACTACTACTACTACTACTACTACTACTACTACTACTACTACGACTACTACGACTACGACTTACTACTACCACTACCACTACAACTACCACCACCACTACCACAACCACTACTACCTTCTGCTTGCGCTATTACCTGCCATCGGGGACTAAACCAACTGCGTGCACCACCAGCTCTGCAAGCTCTCTGGTGAGCAATCTGGGCCGAGCGAAGCCTCCATGGTCTCTCTGTACCAGGCATGCACGGCCGAGCCTGCCCGATTGGACAGCATGTGCCAGGGCCCGAGTGCCCATTGTAAGACTGTCCAGAGCTGCAGACCAAGATTGTAAGCATAGTGGAGTGTCGGGGGTTCGGTTGTCCTGAGGATCCACGCGTGAGCTCCGATCATGAGGCCAGGGCAAAACCCGCCGACTGACCAGCGAAACTGATTGTGTTTGTTGGGGTATGTAGGCAGGTCGGGATCAGGACTCAAACGAATGCCACTACAATAGACTATTGTCTTGACGATGTGGGCCCTGGTTTCCACCACCGCGTGAACCGTTCAATCTAACCGATCTTATTTCTCGGAGGTCCCCAGAGATTCGACTCAATATCTCTGGGATTTCGCGCCGTGCGTTGTTTTATGGGGGTTTCAATACTGGGAGGGTCAACCTTGAAAGCCGGCGCTGGCGTCGCGCCAGGTCCAGACAGCGCGAACATGCCGTACTACCCAGGTCTATAGTTTGTGTGGGTCGCCTGCCCCTCAGAGGGGCCTGTGCTTGCTTAGAGCAAATGCGCGCACGTCACGCTTACTCGCGTTTTACATGTGCTGGAACCTAGCGCATAGAGCGAAAGTTGGGCCGTGTCGGGATGTACAGGCACCGCGGACTTCGAAAGTGATTCGGGACTCGGGTGAGTATGAAAGGTGCGCAACTAAGCACTACTCCCTCCCTCCCTCCCTCCTCCCCCCCCTCCCCACTCCCTCCTCCCCCCTCCTCCCTTATCCCTCCTCGCTCCCCCACCTCCCTCCTCCCGCCCTCCCCCCCCTACCGCCCCCGCACTCGCGCTGGCGAGGGAGGGAGAAGGAGAGGGGCAAGGAGGCGGCGCCGCAAAGGAGAGGGGGGGACGCAGCAGGAAAGAGCGTTGAGGGACGAAGGAGGGGGAGGCAGAGGAGAAGGAGGGAGGGGGTAGGATCAAGCGGGCGAAGAGGAAGAAGAAGAAGGGAGGGAAAATGAAAGACGAGGACGAGGGAGAACCAAGGACGAGGAGGACGAGGATGCGTATACGGAGGGCGGGCGAGGAAGCAAAGATGTGGGTGTGCAGGTGTTGGGGGCTCCACCGACCGCTTCGTCGGATCACCCCTCCTTCCCCCTGCTTCTCCACCTCCCCTTCCCATCCTCCCTCATGCTTCCTCTCCTCCTCCTCCTCCTCCTCCACCACCTCCTCCTCCCCTTCCTCTCCCTCCTCATCCTCCTCCTCTTCCTCCCCCTCCTCCTCCTCCTCTTCATGCTCGTCCTCCCCAGACGACGACGACGACGACGACGACGACGACGACGACGACGCCGCCGCCGCCCCCAGGGGCCTTGCAGCACGACTCTGCACATGCTGGTCCGAGTCAGGTCTGGCTTGTGGCGCACCTCGCGGCGGGGTCGGCCGCCCCCGGAGCCACCCCCCCACCTCTGTGCCACCGAAGAACTCGTCTCCTCCCTCGCCCTCGGCGATGACCGAGGGCGAGAGGTTCGATGGTCGCTCCCACCGTGGATCAAGGACCCATTGGGCGTGGCATAATGGGGGGGTCACAAATTGGGGGGTCAAAAAAGGTCCCCTTTCGTGCCCCTTTCGGGCCCCTCCGGAGCCCCAGGGGGCTCGTTTAGGTACCGTTTGGGTACCTTTTCGGACCACCCGCGACACCCCCCCCATTTGTGACCCCCCCATTACGCGGCGCCCAAACCCACTTGCGAGAGGTGGTGTTCCGGCCTATCCCGCCGTGTACCACTATCAACCGAGTCCATGGCAGCCACAATGCTGGTCTGCTGCCAGGCCGAGGGACGCAAGTCTTTGCATTATCGCTGCGCGCTGCCGCTCTTGGAATGGCGTTTCGGTGCGCCCTGGGGTGGACGCCTCTGTTGGCCACCCGCTTACGGGCTCTGCGTTGTCCTCCTCCTCACCCTGGCGCTGGCGCTGCTGGCATTAAGGTCAATCACAGCGCCAAAGCGTCAAGGAGGAGGAGGAGGAGGAGGCAGGAGATCGGCACCATCATCACCACCACCATCATCACCACCACCACCACCACAATCCATCATCGGCAACAGCAGCAGCAGCAGCAGCATCGTGCGTCTCCTCATCGTCACCAGCACCACCGCCACCACCACCTACTCCTGTTCATCCAATTCCTTCTCCTCCTCCGCCTCATCCTCCTCAATTTCCACATTCCCCACCCGTCCTCATTCCCCACTCAAATTCCGCCCTCCTCCTCCTCCTCACCCTCCTCCGTCTCATCCTCCTCAACCGCCGCAGATTCTAGAGAGATGTTGACCGCCACCCGTATTGATGGCTCGAACTCATGTTTCCGCCGTCACTACCATCCTGGTCGCCGTTCCCTTGAAATCGTCGTCACTGTCATCTCCGTCATCTCCAAGCTCGCTGACCAAAACCTCCAGCATCTCTATTGCTTCAATCCGTGGGCCCAAGAACTCTGCACATATGGTGGCCCCGAAACTGACCCTGGAGGCCAAAAGAAGAAAAGAGGAAAAGCCGAGAGTGACAAGGCCATCCGCTGGAGGTGCCATCGTCGACGTCGTCGAGCAGTTCCCCGACTGGTGCCCCCGCAGAAGGGGCCCTGGCGGCCTCGTCGGTGTTGTGGGCGAAGGCGCACAACTCGCCGTGCTTGCACATGCCCTGCTCCGGCCCGTACCCCAAGCGCGCCCGACACCCGTCACAGGCATTCCCCCCCCCCCCGCCCCACTCTAAGGCCCCTCCAGAAGGGGGACGAGGACAGGGAGGGAGGGGAGGAGGGAGGGAGTAGAGGAGAGCACGAGTGGGGGAGGAGGAGATTCGAGAAATTGAAAGAGGGCTTATAAAAGCCTTCTCGGGGCTCCTGGGTGCTTGGGAGGTCCCCAGTACTCCTCCCGCCCTCATACTCCCTTCAACACTGTTCCTCCTCAATTCCCCCCCTTCCTCCTTCTGCACCCTCCTCCTCCTCCTCCTCCTCCTCCTCCTCCCTCCCCGTCCTCCGCCACCGCTGTCGCACGGTCGCACGGCTCCACCTGCACAAGCCAGGCAAGCCGAGCGCGCTTCCTCCGGCAAGGGACCAGCGCCAGTGCTGTCAGGCAATCCCCTAACCCAAGTAGCAGCGCCAGTGCTGTCAGGCAATATCCTAACCGAAGTAGGAGAGTTCTCCACCGCAACCTATACATGTAAAGCCATTTATATGTTCCACGGTCGATGTGTGTGTGTGCAAAAGTATGTGCACGAATACATGACTGCGAAGACGTATACACACAAGTGTGTGAATATATTCAAACTGCGAGAGTAGACAAAAGTACATGTAGATAGTCATCGATATCTTCATGCGCACATGCACGTATATATATGCGTATGTTTCGGTATGTCAGGTTATGAGCCAGCGTTCCTCAACACACATGTGTGTACGATGTAGAATGGATATAGACGTATACATATGCAACTTCAAATGCATTTCGTAGAGAACAAATATCGTGTATAACAGTCCTGCATCGGAAAATGGGCATGTAGTCAGACATCGAAATTCTACACGCGTACATTCCACTGCATTGTTATATCTATCTGTATGGGTGTCCATGTACAAGTACGCGCGTGTAAGGAGAACTGCGGGTTGTTGCATCTCTCGATATCTCCGCACGTAAGCTCCGCACGTAGATGTGTGCCACGGCGCGCGATCATATACACATGGAACTGGCCTCGATTCTACCCGGATGAAACTCTGACGGGACCAAGCGCCTGATAAGGCAATCAAGGAAACTTGATGCACGTAGCGAGGACGGACTAGCCAGGAAAGGAATAAGTTCGCCAGCACAACGGGCTAGAGGCGTGCTAAGACCTCCGGTAACAAAGTAACAATATTCAAATTCGCGCGCGCGCGCGTGGCGGCCTCTGGGGGTCCCGGAGCGAAAAGTACCCCGGGCAAGTCCAGCAACTCCACCCCAAAAATGCCAGATCTCTTCGGCGCGGGCCTGGGGGCCTCTGGAACCGTCCAGGAGCGGCCCAATAAGCCGTCAAATCAGTGGCAGGCCCCACGGCCAGATGCCAATAACATCCCAAGGCGGCCCACGATGACCTCACGATGGCCCTCGATGCCCCCAACACGCCCCCCGAGGCTTCCAAGAGGCGTCCCAAGATGCAAAAATAATTGATTTCTCCAGGTTTCTCAAGGTGTTCATCCTTTTCGCCTTTGCAGCTCTCCAACGCTCCAAGAAGGCCCCAGACGCCTCCAAGACCGCCATGTTATTGTTGGTGTTGGTGTTGGTGTTGATGCTGATGTTGTTGTTGTCGTTGCTGTTGCTGCTGCTGCTGTTATTGTTGTTGCTGTTGCTGTTGCTGCTGCTGCTGCTGTTGTTGTTGTTGTTGTTGTTGTTTTGGTTTGTGCTGTTGTTGTTAGTTATAGGTGTTGTTGGTGGTGGTGGTGGTGTTGTTGTTGCTTATATCTCCCTCTCTCTCTCCCTGCGTGTATGTCTGTTATGTATCTCTATCCCTCGCCCTCTCTCTCCTTTTTCTCTCTCTCTCTCTCTCTCTATCTCTCTCTCTCTCTCTTTCTCTCTCTCTCTCTCTCTCGCTCTCTCTCTCTCTCTCTCGCTCTCTCTCTCTCTCTCTCTCTCTTTCTCTCTCTGTGTTTCTTCCTTTTTGTTTCTCTCTCTCTCTCTCTCTGTCTCTCTCTCCTCCCCCGATCCTCATTCCCCCGCGGGCATGTCGGCAAAGCAGCTTGCCATGAGCGGCCTGCTGGAACAGCTTGCACAGGTCTGTCTTGAAGAGCTGCAGGGCGTGCTTCTTGCGCACGGAGATCCTGCCGCCGCCGCTCCACGGCGGCACTGCCAATTTCAAGGGGACGGGCAGACACACAAAAAACAGTCGAGCGAGAAAATCCTCGCTGGGCCAGAGCGCCGCTGCACAACAGGGTATACACACGTACTACGTGATACTGTGGGCCCCATCCGCCGAGAGGTAGCGGGACAACCGCGGCAAGCGCGCCACGCAGCCTCCCTCGAAAGACAGCCGCCTTCCTCTTTCCGCGTGCTTCCTCATATTCCTCCTCCTCCTCCTTCTCCCCCTACTTATGATTATGTTCATGATTATGTTTCTTCGTCTTCTTATTCTTCTTATTAGTTTTAAAATATTATTATCAATATTATTATTAATGTTATTATTCCCTACCTAGGCTCTGCCTAGAAGGGTTCTTACTCTGTTAGCTTAAGGGGCCGGGCAGTGGAAAGCGCCCCGGGCGGTTCCCCCAGACCCCGCCCCGCGGTTCCCCCCAGTCCCCTGGGAGCTTTAGCTTTAGCTTTAGCTTTAGCTTTAGCTTTAGCTTTAGCTTAGCTTTAGCTTAGCTTTAGCTTAGCTGTAGCTTAGCTTTAGCTTAGCGTTTCGCTTAGCGTATCGCCTAGCTTTTCGCTTAGCGTTTAGCTTAGCTGTTCGCTTAGCGTTTAGCTTAGCTTTAGCTTAGCTGTAGCTTAGCTTTAGCTTAGCTTTAGCTTAGCTGTAGCTTAGCTGTAGCTTAGCTTTAGCTTAGCTTTAGCTTAGCTTTAGCTTAGCTTTAGCTTAGCATTAGCTTAACTTTAGCTTAGATGTAGCTTAGCTTTAGCTTAGCTGTTGCTCAGCTTTAGCTTAACTTTAGCTTAGCTGTAGCTTAGCTTTAACTTAGCTTTAGCTTAGCTTTAGCTTAGCTTTAGCTTAGCTTTAGCTTAGCTTTAGCTTAGCTTTAGCTTAGCTGTGGCTTAGCTTTAGTTTAGCTTTAGCTTAGCTTTAGCTTAGCTTTAGCTTAGCTTTAGCTTAGCGCTACTGATACTACTAATGCTGCTTTCCTAGGGGTTCCAACTCCTAGGTAGGGTCGCACTGGGATAATTAGTGTTTCTTATTGCTCTTACTATTCTTCTTAATATTACTACTAGTAATATTAATATTATTATTACTAGTACTATTCTTATTAATATGATTCTTCTTCTTCTACTACTACTACTACGACTACTAGTACTACGACTTCTTCGTCTATTACTACTACTACTACTACTACCACTACTACTACTACTACTACTACTACTACTACTACTACTACTACTACTACTACTACTACTACTACTGCTACTAATACTACTACTACTACTACTCAAACCACTAAGACTACTACTACTACTACTACTACTACTACTACTACTACTACTACTACTACTACGACTGTTACTACGACGACGACTACGACTACTACGACTACTACTACTACTACTACTACTGCTGCTACTATTGCTGTTACTGCAACTACTACTACTCCTACGACTACAACTGCTACTACTTACTACTACAACTGTACTACTACTACTATACTACTTCGGACTACTACTGTTACTGCTATTACTGCCATTACTTACTACTCTACAACTACTTACTACTTACTTCCTACTTACTATACTACTACGCTACTACTACTACCTAACTTCAACATACATACTCTCGTCTACTACTTCTACACTTCTTCTACTACTTTTATCTTTGATACTACTACTCTAACCACTTCTACCCCTACTACTATTACTAATACTATATAAATTTCTACTATTATCTACGACTTACTACCTACTACTTACTACTACTACTTACTTATACTTCACTACTACTATTACTAAACTGCTACTAATACTACTTTCGACTACGACTACTACTACTACTACTACTACTACTACTACTACTACTACTACTACTACTACTACTACTACTTACTACTTACTACTTACTACTTACTACTTACTACTTACTACCTACTACTTACTACTTACTACTTACTACTTACTATTTTCTACTTACTGCTGCTACTACTACTACTACTACTACTACTACTACTACTACTACTACTACTACTACTACTTACTACTTACTACTACAAGTACTACCGACGACTACGTCTACGACGACTTTACGAGACGACTACGACTACGACTTACGACTACGACTGCTACTACTACTTACTACTACTCTTACAACTGCTTACTACTATACTTACTACTTACCACCTCCACCACCAATACTCTTACTACTACTACTACGACTGCTAGTACTTCCCTTCTCTTTACTATCTACTACTACTACTACCACGGCTATATAATATACTCTTACTACTACTACTACTACTACTACTACTACTACTATTACTACTACTACGACTACCACTACTACTACTACTACTACTACTACTACTACTACTACTACTACTACTTCTTCTACTGCTATTATTACTACTTCTACTGGGAGTACTGCGACTACTGCTGCTACTACTACTACTACTACTACTAAACCTACTACTACGAATACGAATGTTACTACTACTACTACCACTACGAATACTCCTACTCCCACTACTACTACTACTACTACTACTACTACTACTACTACGACTACTACTACTACTACTGCTGTGCTATTACTAATACTGAATATTACTACTACTACACTAGTTACTACTTACTTCCTTCCGTACGTCTACTACTACTACTACTACTTCTCTAACTTACGACTACTTACTACTACTACTACTACTCTATAATACTACTACTGATACTACTTCTTACTACGTCTATCTACTACTACTACTTCTACTACTATCTAATACGAATACTACTTCTACTACTACTCCACTACTACTACGACTTTGCTACTACTACTACACTACGAACGACTTCTACTTGCTTACTACTACGACTAAGTCTACGATTATCTAACCTCGACTACGTACGACTACTAGGACTCTGACGTTCTTCTTGTTCTATTACTCAGTACTACTGACATTCGTCTACTTTCTTACTGTTGGTTTTTCTAGCTTTTTCACTATTACTACCACTAAAAACTAGGACTTAAGTACTACTGAACTGCTACTACTACTACTAAATTGTTACCTGTACTACTACTACTACTACTACTACTATTACTACTACTACTACTACCACTACTGCTACTACTACTACTACTACTACGACTTCTACTGATAATAATAATATTAGTAAGACTAATACTAACTACTACTACTACTACTACCACTACTACTACTACTACTACTACTACTACTACTACTACTACTACTACTACTACTACTACTACTACTACTACTACGACTACTTCTACGACTACGACTACTACTACTACTACTACTACTACTACTACTACTACTACTACTACTACTACTACTACTACTACTTTAAGTTGCATTGCTTGGTTGTGGGTGCGCTGTCTCGCGCGCTCAGCTACGAGATAGACTGTTCTATTACTACTACTACTACTACTACTACTTCTACTACTACTACTACTACTACTACTACTACTACTACCACTACTACTTTTTACTACTACTACTACTACTACTACTACTACTACTACTACTACTACTACTACTACTACTACTACTACTACTACTACTACTACGACTACTACTAGTACTACTACTACTACTACGACTGTTGCTACGAATACATCTACGAATACTACTACTACTACTACTACTACTACTACTACTACTACTACTACTACTACTACTAGTACTACTACTACTACTACTACTACTACTACTACTTCTACTTCTACTTCTACTACTACTTCTACTACTTCTACTACTACTACTACTAGTACTACTACTACTACTACTACTACTACTACTACTACTACTACGATGTTTTTCTTTGTATTCCCTACCTAGGCTCTGCCTAGAAGGGTTCACACTCTCTGGGTTTAAAAGGGCCGGGCAGTGGAAAACGCCCCAGGCGGTTCCCCCAGTATCCGCCCCGCGGTTCCCCCAGTTGCGGCCCCTGGGTTCACCCAGCTCAGCTTAGCTAAGCTCAGCTTAGCTTAACTCAGCTTAGCTTATCTCATTTTAGCTTAGCTTAGCTTAGCTTAGCCTAGTTTAGCTTAGCTTAGCTTGGCTTAGCTTAGCTTAGCTCAGCTTAACTTAGCCTAGCCTAGCTTAGCTTAGCTTAGCTTAGCTTAGTTTAGCTTAGCATAGCATAGCTTTGCTTACCTTAGCTGACCTTACCTTAGCTTAGCGCAGCATAGCGCAGCGCAGCATTAGCACAGCATAGCATAGAATAGCATAGTATAGCATAGCATAGCATAGCTCAGCATAGCATAGCATAGCATAGCATAGCGCAGCATAGCATAGCATAGCATAGCATGGCATAGCATAGCATAGTATTGTTTAGCATAGCACAGCGCAGCATAGCGAAATGCGTGTGCATAGCGCAGCATAGCGGTGAGCGAATCCGAAAACATGCGTGTGTGTGTGTGCGTCTGTGCGCAGGCAAAGCAAAAACAGAATCAAGCAAAAGCAAAAACAAAAGCAAAAAGCAACAGCAAAAGCAAGAGCAAAAGCAAAGGCAAAGGCAAAAGCAAAGGCAAGAGCAAAAGCACAGGCAATGCAATGCAAAAGCAAAACCAATGCGAAAGTGTAGATGTAGATGTAGGTGTAGATGTAGGTGTGGATGTGGATGTAGGTGTAGACGTAGATGTAGATGTAGCTGTAGGTGTAGATGTAGGTGTAGATGTAGATGTAGATGTGAGTCTCGCTGTTGATGTTGATGTAGATGCAGATGCAGGTGTAGATGTACATGTAGCTGCCGGTGTAGATGTAGATGTTGCTTTCCTAAATGCTCCAACTCCTAGGTAGGGTCGCACTGGGATAATCATTTATTGTTTCCCGACCTGGGCTCTGCCTACAAGAGTTCTTACTCTCTTGGCTTAAAGGGGCCGGGCAGTGGAAAGCGCCCCTGGCGGTTCCCCCAGTATCCGCCCCGCGGTTCCCCCATTATCCGCCCC